GTGCACGAAACCTTTATGGGAGGCCCTAGTACAAATGAAGTTGTAGAAAACACTTGTGGGCCTTGGTCAATTTTACCACCCAACTAGAGAGCCAGTTTACAAAACTGAGGAAACCCACATTACCATCCAAGAATAATGAGGCGCTGATTAGGTTTTTCGGACCTGGGGGGTCCTTGTGCTAGAAGAGAGAGGGAGCTGTAATACTAGAGATGATAAGAAACATCGACAAGTATGGAAGAATCCGGTGGTAGAGAAAATGTAGCAGTAGAACCAGGAGACTTAACACAAGACAGATAGCTACCAGGGGCATGCTAGTCCTCAGAGTTAGAGCTGAGTCCCTTTAGGCAGGTAGCTGGCTGGCTGACTCGGGGGCCCTTGGACACTCTTCAGTAAAAAGAACTAACAGTGCTTTTCAACACTTACCTGAGAAGAGCAAAGACTGAGGCAACTGCCATGGGCTGAGAGGACACTATCCTAAAGGGTAAAGAGGAGGCTGTCCTGAGGGGGCTGAGGGAAGCCCTACCTGGTGCAGAGGAGCTGAGAGAGCTGCCCTGAATTGAAGAAGGAAGACTATGCCTCCATGCTTCCTGATCTCATTCAAAATTGTAGACTTTTACTTGTCTAGTAAACCCTGTAACTGTGAGTTTGCTCTCTGAGTTCTGTGTGGCCATAGGAATGAATCGTCAGACCCAGCAGAGAAATAGAGCAGCGGGAAGGACAGTTATCAGAATTGGTTAAAAAAACAAAAACAACTAAAAATAAAGTTTGTAGAGGAAAACGTAACGTGATACCTCCATCTCCTAGGAACCAGCCTTGGGCTGATGCTGTTGGTGATTTCCACCTCCCCGTCCCTGGTGAAGTTAGAGAAGGTTCACCACCACACCATTTTTCATGTGTGCTCAGTAGGCTTGGTGGGTAAATGTTCTGTCTTGGAAACTCGCTCAGTCAGGTTCAAGCCTCCATTTTCTCCCTGGCCAACTGGTGTTGTTAAGTAGCAACCCTGTATAGAGTTTCCAAGGAGTGGCTGCTTCTCCTACAATGCCACCCAAGGACCAACATTTAACTTTAGACAAATCACTTAATCTCTCTGTGCCGAAGTTCTCTTTTTCTTTATAATGAACATAATCATGCTTGCCTTGTAGATTGGTGAAGAATAAAATAATTACCATGCAATCTTTGTAATGGTTAGGGTCCTGTGTCTACTTGACTAGGCCAGGAATTCCAGAGGTTTAGCAGTTGATATGTGCTTATTGCCATGGTGACAAAACCTAATGCTGGCATAGTTAATGCTGATGAGTGGCTAGGAGCAGCCAGTCATTTAAAGGGAAGCTTCCTTGGGGGTGTGGGCTGCTCCCAATATAATGGACATGTGGGAGGGACTCTCTCTCTGTCTTTTGCTGGGGACCTGGGACTCTGTAATTATAAGCCTTTTTTTTTTTTTTTTTAAATAATATCTACTTGCTATGGTGGTGGACTCTTATTGTGGGTTAATGTGCTGGACTGCAAAGTCATTTGAACCACAAGGTCAGTGGTTCAAGCTCACTATCTGCTCCTTGGAAACTCTATACAGGGAAGCTATGGATAGGAACCAACTCGATGGCACTTGACAACAACTACAATGGTGGTGGTGGTATGCCCTGGAGTTGGTTCCAACCCATAGCTACCCTGTATAGGGTTTCCAAGGCTGTAAATCTTTACAGGAGCAGAAAGCCTCATCTTTCCCCAATGAAACAGCTGGTAGTTTAGAACTGCTGACCTTGAGATTAAGCAGCCCTATGCATAACCACTACTCTATATTATGCATGTATGTGTCCTTGGAAACCCTATACAGGGTCGCAATGGGTCAGAATCGACTTGACGGCACTTAACAACAACAACAACAATGTTTCACTGGTTTTGCTTCTCCAAAACACCTGGCCTAAGACATGTGATACTGAGAGAGTAGGGTTTTAGAGGAACAAAATCAGAAGGATGAGTTTTCTAAATTGGTAATCAAGTCTGACTAATTTTAAAAGCACTGATACGGGGTAGAGCATGTCTGACCTTGGGCTAATGTTGAGTTTAGTCCGCTTTCCCTCTGTGGAGTAAGATGAAGTCAGACATGATCCCTACTTGGCTTAAGCAGTTGGCGCTATGAGCAGGATTCAGTGCAATGACTCCAGACCTATGAAATTTCGAGGTTTTGTGGGCATGGGATAAAATATTTCAGTGGAGGGGAGTCGAAGACACACTTGTTTAATAAGGATAGCTGATCAGGGGCCAGGGCCTACTGGAATCTACCCTGCCAAAGGCCCAAGGTCATAGGCATATGAATGGGGTGAGTCCAAGGGAGAAGAAAAGATTGAACTTGAGTGTTTGAAAAGATCTATGTATTTGACGGCCTTGTGAATACTGGTTTCTTCTGTCTATTATGTAAAATACACATACACGGGTGATAGGAATAATTGTGAATCGTGATTACAGAGAACTTGTAAGACCACCTTTAGCCTAGACTTGACTGAATTTGCTAAAGGGGAGTTAGAATTGGCCCATTACAAATAGGCTTCTTTGTAGAGTCTATGGCATTAGCTGGAATCCTGAGCTCCACCCAGAACCTTGAGTTGGTACATCTGTAATTGAAAAAACTTGCAGATCAACTCAAAACTGGTGAGAGAACTGGAGATTCAAGTAGAGAAACAAAGCAGTTTGGCGTTTTGAGTTTTGAAGGCATCAAGGAAAGGAAAGTCGGCCCATCAGAGAGAACCCCTTCTAGGACTGAAAGTCTTGGTGTTGCACTGTGGGATAATGCATTAGATCACAAGATCGGTTTGAATTGCATGGCTGGTGGTTCAAATTCACCAGTTGCGCCTTGGAAACCCTATGGAGGGTCAACATGAGTTGGCTCCAACTTGATGACGTATAACAACAACAACAACAACAGCAGGACTGAAAGTTAAAGGGAAGCGGCACTCCGTATACTCTCTGGTGACCACCTGGATCTACTTGTGAGTGGAATTGGGGGAAATGCAGCAATGAAGACACAGGCTGAGTTTGGCACCCGCTGACCTTGAGAAAAGAGGAGAGGGAAGGCTGGATGGTTTGAAGTTTAGGGAGTTGTATGAACTCCTGAGCCCACGAGCACTAATCTAGCCCACGGGGCCCAGGGCGGAGAGAGAAGGGGCAGGGAGGTGTATGTGAACTCCCAAACTTGTAGCTGGTACCCATTTGACCTAGCTTGGGAGACTAGAGCTGAGCTGACTAGACCCTGAGCAGGTATTTGATACAGTGGACAAGTTGGACTGGACTTTTGCTTATAGATGCAGTCACTCAAAATGCCACTTGGAATGGAAGATTCTTCATAGCAAAAAACATGCTTGTGTCCTCACTGTACTGGATTGGTAGGGGCAGGCAACGTACACATTGGCTATCAAAAATGTGGGGGCTATAAAGGCATATATATATATATACATGGAGTTCTGGTGTGGCTTACAAACTTTCCATGGATGTGCTTAGTTTTAGAATGAGAGGACAAAGGAGAATCCCCACTGACTTGTATTCCTCTTATCCAGATGGGTCTGGTGAAAGGGGTTAAGGAATGACATTAATAGGATTTTTTATTTTCAACTGTGAGCAGTTATTAGTAGCATTATTTGTGATGGTCAAAACTGTAATTATAGAAGATGTACAACTAGAAGGAGGGAATAGTTCTTTTTCATTTCAGGAATAGACTCTCACAGGACCATCATTAAGGAAGAGCATGAGTGGGCCCCTACCTGGGAAAGTAGCTACAGCAAAGATGGCGGCAGAGGTGGTGGCATGGAGAGAAAGAGCAGCTGCGGGCTCTAGGCCCATGGACTGAGTAAGGCTGCGTGCCTATGGGCAGGAGGCTAGCTTGCAGAATGTGCTCTTTGTACATTTAAATAAACATATGTTTTATGTTTTGTGTGTATGCATCAGTATTTTCGCTCTGTTCATTTGTGACATATGAGATGTCAATGGGGCCAGTGCATTTTTGGTTGTACGTGCTTTAGTTATATCATGTTAGGTGCAGAATAACTTTACAATTTTATTTATTTAGAGATTATGCATGCAGTTTACAGGTTTCAAGTTGACAAAGGTGAACTGTAATGGTTAGAATTCTGGTTCAACTCAACTAGCCCAGCATTTGCAGAGGTTCAGTAGTTGGGATGTGCTTATTCCCATGGTGATGAAACTTAATTCAGGCATAGGTTTCAGCCATATGAGCAGCCAGTCAATCAAAGGAATGCTTCTTTGGGGTTGTGGCCTGCTCCCAGTATAATGGACACACAGGAGGGATAGTCTGGCTGTCTTCTGCTGGGAACCTGAGACTCTATAATTGTAAGCCATTTTCTTAATAATAAACTTCTCTGTATATATACATGGAGTTCTGTTGTGGCACTTCAGGATAATGCAATCGACCATAAGGCTGCCAGTTCAAACCCACCAGTCACTCCTCAGAAACCCTACACAGGGTCGCCATGAGTCGGATCCAACTTGATGGCACTTAACAACCACAATATATATACGTACATATATATTTTTTCACTGGTTTTGTTTCTCTAGAAACCCGGCCTAAGACAGTTTTCATAGTGGTAGTTGTATGTCATGGAGTCGGTTCCGATTCATAACGACCCTGCATAGGGTTTCCAAGGCTGTAAATCTTTACAGGAGCAGAGAGCCTCATCTTTCTCCTGCAGAAAAGCTGGTGGATTCAAACTGCTGAACTTGAGTTTAGCAGCCCGACTCGTAACAACTATGCGATCAGAGCTCCTCACAATAATAGTAATCCCTACATAATAAGTGCTCTTTGAAGACTATACATCCAACTCTTAGAAACTTCTTCATGAAAGAAAACCTTTGAATAAAAGTTTCTAAGTCTACATTAATGGTAGAAAGTCAACACGATTAGTCGACACGCTAGCCACATGCTGCCCTTGTCTCCTCTTCCCTTGCAGGACACTGTGGCTCTGAAGACAAGTATGACTCACAAGAAACTAAGAATGTCTTCCAGGAATTTGACATTTGGAGTGATTTTCTTAGTACAGACTACAGTTGGCATCCTGGGGAATTTCTATCTTCTTTACCATAATGTCTTCCTGTACTTCAGTGGATTCAGCTCAAGGTCCACAGACTTAATTCTCAGACACCTGACTGTAGCCAACTCCATGGTCAGTCTCGCTAAAGGAATCCCCCAAACTATGGCGGCTTTTGGACTGAAAGATTTCCTCAATGATTTTGGGTGCAAATCTCTTTTCTATGTTCACAGAGTGGGCAGGGGTGTGTCCATTGGCAGCACCTGCCTGTTGAGCATCTTCCAGGCCATCACCATCAGCCCCAGTAACTCCAGGTGGACAGAGCTGAAGGTGAAAGCTACCAGATACTTGGGCTTCTCCCTTTTCCTGTGCTGGCTCTTGCACATGCTGGTAAATATTATTTTCCCTATTTATTTGACTAGCAATTGGGACAATAAAACCATCATAAACCAAAAAGACTTTGGATATTGCTCTTCTGTTCGTCATGATAAAACCGCAGACTCTCTGTACGCATTCTTGTTGTCCTTCCCCGACGCTGTGTCTTTGGTGCTCATGCTCTGGGCCAGCGGCACCATTGTTTTCATCCTACACAGACACAAGCAGAGGCTCCGACACATTCACAGGAGCAACGTTTCCCCCAGATCCTCCCCTGAGACCAGAGCCACACACACCATCCTCGTGCTGGTGAGCACCTTTGTATCTTTTTACACTCTCTCCATCATCTTTCAAGTTTTTTTGTCTTCTTTATTTCACCCCAGTTGGTGGGTGGTGCACACAGCAGCATTAACTACTGCAGGTTACCCTACTATCAGCCCATTTGTTCTCATCAACCGTGACCCCAATTTCACCAGGTTCTGCTTTGCTGGGATACGGAAGACAAAATCCCCTCATCTGATCAGAGACACCTAGTTGTATGTTTTTGTACAAATATCCATGTTTTATTCATAACACAGAACCCAAGCACATGGGAAAATCATGTTATACACACATGCATATATTTTAGTATATAAGTATGTATATGCGTATGTTGGTGTGTAAAGAAATCAACCGGATTATGTTTCCACTTCATCAAGCACGAATACTGGAAAGAGCATAATCGGGTGAAAAGAAAAGAAAACATCCACATTCCAATCATAATGAACTGCTGTGGCCCTGGACGCGAGTTATTTGACATTCATGTGTTCCTCTATGTGATCACGTGGTTAAACCTACACAGGATGCATCTTTCATTTTTTTCACTTTCAGGTGTGTGTTTTATCTCTAATGAGCTACTTGAAAACTGCATTCGTTGTATGGTCAAGCAGTATTTGATGTATGCAGGAAACATGAATAAGTATATTTATGTATAATGTTATAATGGATAGATTTGTGATTGGATCTATGAAATGATTTTGTGATCTTCATAATAATATTGTTTTATTTGCTCTTTGTTTATCTTCTTCTGAGTTATTTAAGAATATTTTAATATTTTGCCCTTTTTATTTGGAGGGTGTATATTAATTTTCACTTTAGACTTTAACCGAGAAATCACACCTTACATTTAAAAACTGATCACATCGTTAAGGTATTGAATACCTTTATTCTTCCACTTGGAGCGTGGTGGTTTCATATTACAAGCACTGGACGGTGAGCCACAAAGTTAGCCATTTGAGTCCACCTGCCACTCACGGAGAAAGATAAGACCTTCCTCCTGTGGAGACTTCAAGCCTCAGAAACCCTAAACAGGATCGCTCTGAATTGGAATAGACTCTCCGCACTTAACAATGACCTTCACCTTCATCTTGACAATATAAGGACAATATTTTAACACTAATCTAGTCACCTTTTCTTAACCAAGCAATGTTTTTAGTATTTATTTAAAATATTTAATCATATATATTAATTGCTGAAGACACATTAATAAGTTACTAAAGCTATATTAAATTTGTCTCCCAGACCTCATCCCAATTTCTACTCTAAAGTACAACAACTATGTTACTATCTAATCGCATAGGGTACTTTCAACTGTACTGTATTTTTAAAAAAATGAATTTATTCATTCATTTTAAATTTAATTTTTAAAATTCCATTTACTGCTTAAACTTGGTCATTTTTGAGTATATTTTTCTTTCTTCTTGTTGTTGTTGAAAACATATGAGTGACAAAACATTGGCCTTTCCAACCATGTTCACTTGTACTGTTCACTGACATTAAGTATGTTCATCACATTGTTCAACCAACACCATGATCGTTTCCAATTTATTACATCTTCCTGAACAAAAGCTCCATGTCCCTTAAGTGTAGGGTCTTCATTCCAGCCTTCTTCCTTCCCACCCTGATAAACCAATAACAATCTTTGGTTTCCAAACTCTTATCTCTTCTATATAAACTCAAATAAATGAAATTATATAGAAAGTGTGCTTTGCTGATTGACTTTGTCACTCAGTATAAGAAGCAAGTAACTTCTTAAATTGAGTTTATTTTAATAATGATATTTCTTTAGGTCTACTATCGGTAAAGTTGTATTTCCTGTGGATACTATGGGAAGTAGACCTCAAAGGGGCATCATGAGTGGTTTGAGCTGAATTGCTACGCTAAAGGCTGGTGGTATAAAGTCACCCAAAGGTGCCATGGAAAAGGTGGATGATGATTTGCTTCTGTAAAAATTACAGGTCTGAAATGGTGAAAATTTTGGCAGTAACAAGGTGAGGAAAGTTTACCCAAAGGCAGCATGATTTTAGCAGAGGTCCTTACAGGCTGTGGGTAAGGGTTAGACATGGTACCCATTGCTGTTGGGGCAATTCTGGCTCAAAGCAACACTCTAGGACAGATGAGACTTGCTCCACAGGGTTTCCCAGACTGTAATCTTGGTGGAAGCTGAGTGCTGCATCTTTTCACTGCAGAACAGCAGGTGGGGTGCAGCCACCAAACTCTCAGTTAGCAGCCTAGCTCCTATCCATGGCACTCCAGGGCCCCTTTCAGACGAGGTAGGAAGGTGTTACAGAAAATCAAGGGAATACTTAGACCATGAAGGAACTTACTGGTGTTAAAAGAAGATGCTTTATTGAAAGTGAGGAAAAGAGTAACACCGAAAGGAGACCAAAAGACAAGCATATTGCAAAGTCATTGTTTGCTACACAAGATTGCGATCTTCTCCCAGGTCTGCTTGTCATTGATTTTTATTGGCTCCAGTTTAATTCCAGGGAAGTCCATGTGTTAGTGTCCATCTCCAGGCTGGAATGGAGAGGAAGAATTGAGAGAAACACCCACGATGACAACTTAATTAGTGTGGGAATTGTTAAATGGAACTCTAATATGCTGAGTAAACATAAACATTTTTAAACATAAACATTATTAGCAGTCAAAGGGCTAAACCAACCTTTTTGTCCCATGCGTCCTTTTATAGAGTCCTGATGGAGTGCTGCAGGGTTATGCACTGGACTTCAAGATTGCCTTGAAGCAAATAGTTGGTAGTCCAAACCTACCAGCTGCTCCTGGAAAACCCTTTTGTTGTATGGGTAAGGGCTGTCAGTGGGTTCCGACCCATGGTGATCCTGTATCGGGTATCTGAAGAGCAGCTGCTGAGCTTGCACCACCGACCTAACAGGTCAAATATTAACCTAAAGCACTACCCCAGGACTCTGGAATACCTTACACAGGGTCCCTATGAGTTGGAACTGACTTGACAACACTTAACAACAAGAGTTGTAGTGAGCTTAAAGATCTTGCCCAATTTGTCAGACACACATATATGGGCAATTTGATTATTCTGAGTTTTTTTTCCAAATTCAAAAAGAGAAGGAATCAAAGTGAAGCAAGTGTCATTCATTGCATTCTGGTGGTTTCAGCATTCTAGTTTCCTTGCTGTGTTAACTTGACATCCTTGCTTTGGAGAACACTTTGATCGCTTGGTCTCCTCCAGATGATCGTGTGAAGGAGCTTACAGCTCACAGATGATAGTCTGTATTCTAGAAGCCAATGTAGAACTCGGGTCTTCGTGTTGTGCTATCAGAGAATCACTGTATTGTAACCCAGCAAGTTGATGGTTCAAACCCAACAGCTGTTCATTGGGAACATTAGATAGTGTCTCGATGAATCAGAACTGAGTTGGTGACAACAGTTTAGTTAAAAAGGTGATCCTAAGGGAAAATTTCCTTTTAAAGAGTATCTCAGGACAATTGTCTCAGAGAGCCTTCTCATGTCAGGTAGACCAGTAAGTCCGTCCTACATTATTTCTCCATTCTATAAGGGTCCATCTGTTCTGACCCAGATGAGACAGGTTAGGAGTGGTAGCTGGGCATTCCCTAGTTCTCCTGCTCTCAGGTTAGAGGAGGCAGTGGGGTGTGCAGGCACCTAGTCCTCTAGACAACTTTCTTCCCTGAGTCTTTTGATTTCTTCTTTTCTTTTGTTCCTGATGAATAAAGACCCAAAGATGTGTCTTA